GAGTGTTTCAATCTATCTGAATCTAAGTATACCTAGGAGGGGTGTTATTCGACTCAAGGCGTTAACTTGTTGACTTGCTGTAAGCTTCTGACCTTTCGTTCGTATTTGGACAGTTAGGATTCACAGAAATGAAAATGTCAGCCGATGTGCAGTTTGTTGGTTTGTCGCAGTCTGGCGGCCTAAGGGTAGAATGAGCTCATCCGCGGATGCATTACCCACCAAAGTGGCCGGTTCAAGAAGAAAACAACCCAAGGTGGAAACTTAGCGGGTAGGCTTATTTCACGCCTGCTGCCGCCCCAGCTGATTGCGACAATGTTAACTATGAGAAGTCAATGTCTGACCTGCCAGGTCGGTCTAATACGAATTCACCAGCCTTGGAGAATGCAGAAGAAGAATGAGCCTTGGAGAAGAATGGCTTGGTTGGTCCGGGTCGGAGCCGATCCCGAGACCGATGCCGCGCCGTGCTTTGAAAAGGAGCTTCACTGACCTCTGCACCATCTACATCATTCTAAATCATATTCAGGTGAAATCGTGAAGTAGCTTCCTCCACCAAGACATCGCTTTGCAGGGCAATTTGATGGGCAAGGTAGAAACGTTCATAGTTGAAAGCAGCCGTTTCTTGCAGCAGACAAGTCGTTCCTCTCAGTCAGCAGCAGCATACGCCTTGTGCAAATGTGGGGTGTTAGAAACGACCATTACGGTATCCAGTCGGTCGCACGGATACCTTTCCTTTCACCCGGCGTAGTTGAGTCCTGCATCAGACGCTAATTTTTATCTTAACGAGGCATTGCTTCCGGGAATCCCCTAGCCAAACCTACAAAAAGTAAATATCATAACTGTCAGTTCTTATTGGAAGTCTGCAACGACTACTCAGCAAATATGGTGTGACAACAAGGAATTTCAAATGGACAAAGTTGTCCGACTCCAGAAAGATTGTATGAGATCAGTGGGATGAGGGTCAGACCGCTGGTCCATCTGCAGGGAAATGCCTTGACTGCCAGAGCTGTTGGCTTCTTCCTACTGTTTGACAGAACTCTTGCTGGAAGCTCACAAAGTGCCCCTCGCTTCTTTACCATCATCACAGCAACAACACCAACACAGCCATGGCTTGCACGCCAGATAAAAATTTATTGCATTCAGTAGAGTATAAACAGTTTACGGGTTTACGTGTCTGTACTGATAAGTGAAAGTAGCTGCACGACGGATGCTGTATGTAACAATCGGTGTTGGATTGAGTCGACCTGGGAGGATCTGGTTGAGCTGTGCTGGACAACAGACTCTGTAGAAAGAAGGATGAATCATAAATATTAGTGCGTAGACAGAAGTCCAATTCTTCTTTTAGAGTGAAGCCATGCGTCGCACCTCTATTCAGGAATAGGGCACTATCAACTATTACTACCCCAGTTTTGCGAAAACAGGCCGCGATTTTGATCGACTTTATTCTATGAGGGTGGATTTGGCTGCGAAGTTGGTTCTGGGGTAATTTTCGACCTCCTCACGCAAAATCATCTACCTTGGCCTGAAATTGCCTGGCGCGCCATAGGCGCCAGTGATTTGGGGCATTTTGGCGCCGGCGCCCGTAGCGCGGACGCGGAGCGGTTTCAAGCCGAGGGAATGTTATATTCGTGATTAGGAGGTCAAACTACCCCGAGGAACAAGTTTTCAGCGGATTTCGTGATCCGGGGTACTTTGGCGCCGGCGCCTGTGACTCGGGGCACGGCGGTTTCGAAGAGCGAGCGGAGTGATTTTCGTTGTTCATGGAGGTCTAGTTACCCCTAGGAACCCAACTTCACGCGCAAAGCAGCCCGTAGAAAAAAGTCGGATCAAAAATCCGGCCCGTTTTCCGGAAATCTGTCGGTAAGTATAGTTTGAATTAGGCCCAGATAGTTTTTGAACTCTGGTGTGATATGCAGAGATACGTCGAGTCAGCTTATGTACAACAAACTTTTCTATCTTCCCATATGAACTACTAGTACCAGTTTACGTGACTAACAGTGAGTGCAAATCGGAGGTTTGTTCGAGTGGAGTGCGATTTAATGTAATGTGACACTCCTGACCATGTTTGAGACTAGCTGTTCACATTAGTTAACGTAAGTAGCGAACCTCCCTGCCAGGCCTTTCAGAATAAATGGGAGCAGGTTTTCAATAGAGGCCTGATTGCAGCTAAGCTTATGATACCGTCAAAGGGGTGCGGAATGTGCTGCTGGTAACAATGACATGAATGGGAGTGATGTATTGGCAAGCGGCACGCTTACCACGAGTTCGGGCGGAGTTCAGTTTCTGGTACAATACCGGATCCAGGCCGGTATTGTACCAGAAATGGAAATCGAGCCACATTCGTCCAGGAGGATGAGAACAGTGACATGTACAAGGCTTGCCCCCGCAATCCATTGGATAGGCCACATCGATTTCTATGAGGGAATTAGAGTTAGTGAACAGAAGTAGAGTGCGTGCCGCTCCAAGCAGCGAGAAAAACTTCAACCTTTCTCTGTTTTTGAGATGTGCCCATAGTGGAGTTTCGCTCGACCTAAAAGCGAATGACCTCCGCGGTGGGCGGATAGACCTCAAGAAGGGTACTACTTTTTGGATTACTTCGGTCCCTGTGTTGCGCGGTAACCCAAAATGCAAAATAGCGGCGCATTTGACACGACGGTCTTTTACATTCCACGAGTTGTATGGCTCCGCAGCTGCTGCAGCGTGCCACATTCTTCAGCTGAAAAGTGCGCTTGAATGCGGCTGGGTAGTGGCTACACGGATTCCGTGTTCTTGCGACTTACCCAGTATTTTCTATCCAATACGGGCCTTGCGCCAAAAACCTTAGCGACACAAGCGTCCAGAAAAGGGCGACAGCAGCCGCCTTGGGCGTTGAAATAAGGCTCGTGCGTCAGCGCGGGAGGCAGATACGGAAACGGGACGCCTCGCTACCCCCCCCCGGCCCCGTTGCCTGGTGCACTTGGTGGCGGGAACAAAAAGTGGCACGGTACTGCGGTGTTCCATTACTATTCACAAATGACAAGCGTTCGTGCTCGGCTCCACGGAGCTGACCGTTACTTGTCTGTTCAGTGCTTCTTTTCTGTCAGGCGCATTAGCTCCCTGGACACTATTCAATGCTGGTAGATGCGTAGTGACGTTTGTAGTTCAAAAAACAGGCTTTATCCATAGCCTTATTGAGCCCCCACTGTTACACCTCGCATTACGTCAGCTCTTATCGGTGTCGAGTTTCGGACTCGTGATAGCATGTACCAACAGCCATGAATAACAATTCCACACCCTGCACAGTGCTGTCAAGCGAGATCTGGATATTTTTTTTCCAGCTGGAGCCTGTAAAGTATTACATGGAACTTAGGTTAAGGTCATGGGCCTAAATGCTGCCGACATGGTACAAAGCTCACCCTTATCAGTCCGGTACACATTGTGTAGTGCATTACTGTTTGGTAGTGATTCGTAGGGTCCCACTGTGATTTTCTAGGTCTGCCATGGCGAGCGAGTAGTGCTAAAGTTGACACCAACAGGAGCTTGTGACTGTAAAACTCAGTCAGCCATTCGAGATGCACACACTTTATCCTGAGAGGAGTTAAGGCGTGGTTTCGACATGGCTTGGAATAGCTTACTCGTGGGGTATTTCAGTTCGAGACAACTGCCATCTTGTTCTGTGTTGAGCAGAGACCACAACTGTGTCGAAATGGAAATATCTCTCCAGAAGCACAACCGGATCACATTCAGATGAAGCAAGCAGCCACGCGTGTCACGTCTCAGGGATTTAAAGTCTACGACAGGGTGTTTTACACGATTTAAAGAGGGGCAGCATGTGTGATAGGGTCACTAAACTGGTGTTTCTAAATTTTCCCATTTGCCCTCCACCTGCTTCTGACTGCATATCTTTTCTAGCGTTTGTTGCTTAGATGCAGTCCAGGAGCTCCAAAACTCGGCGATGCACAGAAACTGGTTTTTATCCGGTTGACTTTCCTTACTGCAGCACTTTCGCGTCGAATCAGTAAGATTTCGGGCCGATAGCCGCCGCCCGCAAAACTTTTTAGCCCCATCTCGAATCTCTTCACTCACTGTTGGGCTGCTAAATAAACAATGAACCCGCAAAGGTTATTACGTGGGCGTTATCCCTGTTTACGGCACGTTCCTTGCTCCTCGTTCCATTACAGAAGCGGCAGTTAATCTTTCACTTGTTTTGTGCCTTTTAAGGGTGTTAAGCGAAACAGCTGAGTGGATAGTATCAGGATTATAGGAGAAACATTCCGCGACAATCGAATGGGCGGAGGCGGCAAGGTCCACAATCGCTTCTCTCAGAGACCCTACTGCACCACACTGGGAGAGGCGTACCGATGAGCAAGAAGCAGTTGCTAGGTGTCTACCCCCCCCCCCCCCACGCGTTCCTCCGCCCACCAGACCACTACGGACTATGTCCTTGAATAGCTTACCCTTTGATTGCAGAGCGCTCCAGCATATCCAGCTGGACAAATGCAATTTGTGGAGCAGTGTCTAGGATTCGAAACACCACCGTTCACGCACTTCGCTGATATTCCACTACAAGGGGCTAAAATAACGATCAAAATAAGATGATGCAACTAAAGGAATTTATCTGCTTTTGAAATCGTTCTTTGGGAAAGAAGCAGAGCGGAGCTCCTTTCTGTCAGCCACTTCGGAAGACTTACCGTAACATTGATGGTATATATTTATCATATGTATGTCATAGAATGAAATGGCTTTTCCGCCCATCGTAAGAGGATATCTCGCTGCGAATCGAGGGATGAGTGAATCTCCGCTTGTGGCAAATCTAGAATTACAAATGAAATTCTATAAATCAAGCACGCGGCCTTGATTGATCTCTTTGCCAACGCTACGTATTCTACTTCAAGTCAGAACAAAGCCTTTTGAGTGAAAGGGATTTGAGTTGAACGGTGGCTCGCAGAGCCGAGTGCTGCCAAATATGTAACCACAGAATGTGAAAGGCTAGGATAGCCTGCAGTGGAAGCGGGCTTTGATTAAGGGTTTAAAGGCAGTTGGCACGATAAATCTCTGAAGACGAGTAGGATTAATGCGCCCGCAGGAATTCTGCGCCCCTGAGAAGGCGCTGCGCAGCGCCCTTTCCAAGGAAGGTACCCTTATAAGGGCCCTATCAAGCTACAACATACCGACCTGAACGCCCACCACGCCCGCCCGCCCACAAACGGACGGCTGTCGCTCGTACTGATTCATTTGCTAAGCAAATTATGAAGCGAAGGATTGGTATGAAGCGGCCGCGATGCTGCATGGATATATGAGTACACATATGCAGCCGTACCTTCGGTAGCGGTTATTGGCAAGATGCCTACGGAAAACTCGTCCGAAATTGATTTTCAAGTCTTTAAAGACAGCTCCGATAAAAGTCTCATGGATAGCTGCTTTCCAATTATGAAACAGTAGCTGATAAGTAATCTCCCAAAGAAGAAAACAGGCAAGAAGCGTCCTCCAGAACAACATAAACAAAATCGCTCCCTCACAGTCACACCTCCCTGCGGTCTCTGTGCAACCCCTAGCTCACAAATCTCTCTATCACATCTCGCAGTAGTTGATATCATCCAGTGCAAAAAAAAGAATACAAAAAGAAAACAACAAAAACGCAGAGGAAAAACTCTTGGAAGGAAAAAGGAATTTTATCAACGCGGTGTCTGAATTTGGGATTACGGTAGCGCACGTTTTGTGCGTCGAGGTTTGCATCACGAAAATTGCGTCACTCGTGCTTTTTACGCGTTTCACCTCGCGAAATGAGTTGAATTGAATGTATATACCTCCAATGAGTAAACTGTAATAAAGGGGAGCAGAATTATCCATGGGCATTAGCAATGCCCGCCGCCCCAACTAAGAAAACTGAGTGGCCTCCGTCGGAGGACATCTAGCAAGTAAGGCGGTCCAACTGAGCAGGCGTTAGAACTAGAACTTACAGCGGCTGTAGCTCGCTTCTCGCTCGCTGTGCAGACGAATAGAGTGGGACAGTCTCTAGCTTGGGGGCTGTACTACTTGCACAAGGAAGGACGACCATGTACTACTCGAGCGCGGGGGCTGTCTTTAAACGACGGATTTTGACCGTTTCACTCCGTTCATTTTCCCACTATACAGCGCCCTGCTAGCATTTTAGGCCGAGTACCAAATTGTCGTGCCAACTGTTTAAGCCTAAAACCGTGCGCATGGTACACCAAGTAAGTAGGCCCCATTGAGCTATGACCACCCCGTAACCTCGAGGATCTCGCTGGAACTTTGCCCATGAGCCTGATCCCGTGTATGACATTCCTTTGTGGCGCGTGGCGCAGGCGGTAAACTGACGCCATTTGGCACCAAATAGCGCCTGCACTAACATTGGATGCGATATTCGCGTTTGGGACTACAATTCGATACTACTCTGCTCACAAAAATCACATAAACTAGTAGACCTGATTGGGATACGAGATTTGCTTTTGATTTCGGTGCATAGGGTTTCTCGGTGCAGGGTTCAGTGACGGCTGTGCTCTGGGCGAAAGGGATCAGGGGAACTTGCAACCAAGATGGTGAGAAA